ATCAAGTTATGAGTAAACGAGGCCAATAATGGTGTAGATTAGATACATATGTCTACTGGAAAACATCAAGATTAAGTCATTAAATTAAACACAATGAAGATGGACAGCAAGATGTGGATGGTCAGGACTGGTCATCACAACCAAAATTATGGAATGGAATTATAAGAGCAGAGACTGACACTGATCATAGTCTCTTCACACAGCTGCTGCTCTTGCAGTCAGGGGCATTGAGAACTAACCCAGGCCTTGGGTCAGTAATATCATTGCCCACCCCCCTTTCATTCTATTTATTAACACTTGCTGATTTTTCATGAATATATCATATATAATTTGACCAATTTGAATAAACCAATTGTGTCAGTCTCATTTCATGAAATAGCTGTTATCTTTTGTTGTCAACAATAGTCTGCCATGTTCAGGTCTGTAACCAACAGAATTTATAGTCTGAAAAGTAGTCCATATCCTGCTTTCCACTCTTTATAGACACAGCCATGACTGATTTTGGCCAACCTCCAGCTAACTCATTGCTCTCCATGTTGTGTAAATGTCCAAATGTGTTTTTTGGGGTCCTGGCATATTTCACTATCAGTCTGAATCTCTTTACACATTCTGTTGTTGTTCAAACTGCCAACTGAGAACACACTGTGTTTCCTTTACTTTTAGATACCATGAAATTTGTGTCAGATCATGTGACCAATCAAGTGACAAGTGATTTGCATAAAAAATGATCTCAGGGTTACCATTGACATTATGTAATAACTGCAGTGGACCTTGCCATAGCTATTTTATAGAAAACTGGTTATTCCATAAATGTTTTGATCATTCAAATTCGATGATGACAAAACCTTGTCGAAACGTTGTACATTTGCTCAATTTTTTTTATTCACATCAGTCTTTATCAAGTATTAAAATTACATTCATATGGGCTTATTTATTATATATTACAGAACTTTTACCTTCATAGCCTTCACTAATATGTAATAGTACCTTTTATATAGCTCCATAATATCAATATAACTCTTGTATTTTAGTATAATATTGTATGTTTCTTGACATGCTCCAGTTAATTGTACAAGTATCACAGTTTTTCAATTTAATAATTACAAGAGCTCTCACCACTTTTTTATTGGCTGTAATGTAATGCTAAACCAGCCTGCCTTTGGGTATTCTGAAAATAGTTCCCATCACTGAACATGCTCACCCTTTCAACTGTGGAAGCATTGTAATGTGAAGGTCAATCCCACGATTTGTTGCTAAAAGAGTAGCCCAAGACTTGGCAGTGGGTGTTATTGTCTTGCTGCCTTCCCTATAGTCTGTGACTTCAAAATTAAAGATGGCTAACTCAGATAGCCCTCGAGTAGCTTTGTACAAAGTTCAAAGCTTCAAATACATCTAAAACTGGTATGTAATTTCATTGTATGAAAAGATGCTTTTTACTGAGCTTTACTACTTTACAGAATTTATTTGACTATGCCAATGGCTGTCTCTTTTATATTTTGTACATTAAATGTCAAAAGAGGATGGTAAGATTCTGTATATATTCCAAAACATACCTCCTGATGAAAGTTTCTCTTCTCTGCCCATCTAAGCATTGGTATGAATCTTACCTAGCTAGATCCAGCCTTTATACCACACTATATTGCAATTTAAATCTTGTGATTCTCTCTAGCTAAGTCAATGCGCCCCCTATACAAGATCAGTATATAAGCTACCCATTATTACTTCCTATTCACTTGATGGCAGAATGTTACGATGATGCTTTTACATGCCTGCTGCAGGTTTCTGTTTTGATGATTTTTTCGATCCAACTTAGTGGGTTTGAGTTTATTGTTTATTTTCAAGAACAAAACAAAAAATTCTGAGATGTTTCAGATATGAATTTTCACTTTCAATTCTATGACATGGAGTCTCTTAGTACTAATCTGCCATTTCTGGAGTCTAGTGTTGCCCAGGCATCGGAGAGAGGCTCCCTTTCCATGGAGAACATCCAATCCCTCATACGCAAAGAGGTAGAGTCTTACATGAGATCTGATGTTTCTTCTCCTGTTGGCTCAAAGGCTGAGCTTGCAGGAAACTAGGGACAGACTGGTGAGAATTTTGACTATTTTTCTGACTCCTTCCTTTCCTTACACAGCTAATCATGAGCCTCCGATGGACATTCCGCCTTCTGCTCCGTTTATGAACCAAGTACATCAAGTTTGTAATGTCTTGAGCATTTCTCCTGTAGGTTACAACTCTTCTCCTCCTTTGTTAGGGGAAAGTCATTTGGTTGATTACCTAGTCTTTCCACCTTTGTCAGACATTGCTGTGCATGTTCAGAGATTTTCTGATCAATTGAGAGAGAGAGTGCTGCCATGCTTTGTCCTCCCCATTTACTGGATCAGCATGCCTTAGCTTTAAATCTCTTGGAGGAACCATATTTAGATTCTCAGAGATAAGAGTCTCTTCTCCCTATTTGGGGTTCTAAACCTGGTGCCACTATTTGTATTAACCTTACATAGTTTCCCAGATTCGTCTGACCCTTACAACAGTTTTGCATTTTTTATCTTCTTTGCAATTGTTGTCTGAGGCCTATCACGGGTCTCTTGCTCAATTTTCAGAGGATCATAGTCATTTATGGACGTCTACTTTGGTACAGTTATCAGCATCTGCTCCTTCCAAAAGATCTCAGCAACAAACGAACCAAGAGGGCATTTGACTTCCATCTTCAGCCCTTAGAGATCTCAGAGAAGCTACTTTTTCTTAGACGTTCGATTTTTGAAGGTATTCTAGATTCCATGGAATCTCGGGTGGATGTGCCCCATCTCCACTCTTTTCTTTCTACACTGGCCTCTTGCCTTTCCTAGTCTTTTACTGGACAGTTTTCTAAAACTCCTGCTCCATGTTCTATATGAACACACAGGAGATTCCACCCTTGTCAGTGGGTATCCTCTGCTCATGTGGAGTGTCGACAACAGAATCGGTGACTGCCTTATGAGGATTGATCCTGTGAGGGCTCGACTCAGACAGTTTGTGTCTGTATGGGAGATCTTTGCCACCAATCAGTGGGTCATTCAAGCTCTTAAGACTGGATTGGTCCTTCATTTCATGTCTATCATACCAGTTGTCTTTCCCCTCCCCAGGGGTCGTCTTACATCCAGTCATTGAGCACAAGCCATCCAGGAACTTCTGTACAAAGAGGCCATAGAGTGCATCAACTCTTCTCTCGAGTGTTTTTATACCTGTTTGTTTGTAGTATCGAAGGAGATGGATGATTGGCAACCTATCATCAACCTTTCTTATCTCAGTCATTTCTTCCAGCCTCCTTAGTTTACTATGGAGTTGTTTCTTTCCCTCCAGTTTCATCAGTTGGTGTATATTGCTTCCTCAGAGCTTTCATTGGAGGAACAGAGGCTTCTTTGGGCCTCATCTCATCAAATTCACCATATCTTGCTGGAGGTGATTGTACAGGTTGATATGTGGACCACACCTAATATATTTATATGGTTTGGCAGTTGCCTTCTAGAAAGGTTATTGGCCTAACCCCCCCCCCCCATGGCTGTTCTTCATACCCTGACTAGTTTGTAAAAGAGGTGAGTGACTTTGTTTCTTTTGTGTCTATATTTATTCTTTTTCAGTGACGCTCTCATCATTTTCATATGGATCCCATTCTGTGGTAGGTGTTGCCTTGTCAGGTATGCTTATTTCCAATTTTGCACTAGCTACTAGTCAACTGATAAAATATTTCCTGGTAGCAATGAGCTCTGTTGAGATGGGGTGTTCCATAAGAACTGCTTGTGCACTTTCTGGGTTGTAAATAATTATAACACTCTAGCGGACCATCACTCATGAGTAAAGCTTAAGGGGATTTTTCTCATCCCTGCTGACCCCTAGATTGAATAAATTGGGGCTGGGTTGCTTTTCAAAATAGGAAACATGATTCATCTATTGCACTTTCTCCGGAGCATCATTCCTCGGGACTCCCCAATGAGAGTGTCACCCAATTTCTCCTAGTGGATAATTTGGAGTCCTTGCCACTGAATTATGCCAGTCAAAGAGAAGAAGGCGAGACTGGGTGCCCTCCTACCAATAACTCTGGAAGGTTTTCCAGATTTATGATAGGAGCAGGATCAACCTATATGAAAGCCTCCTCATCATTCTGGTTCAGAGATGACTTTTCGTTATCTAGTTGAGTTGAGCATGGCCTTTCTTTTTGTTCATTGTTTTCATTCCGATGATCATGGAAAAGGGTCTTTGACTTCTCATATTTCAGCATGCAGAGGTCAATTCCTGTGCCACTGGTTGGACTTAGTTTGTTCCAGATCCTCCTTATGATTTCGAGAGTAGGAGGTGTTGCCTTGCCTCTCAGGTTGGGGAGTTAAAATTTTGGTTCGTAATCCGAGGCCAAGTAATCTCTGTTTCTTCAGGTTATGTGAGACATGACAAGTCCCATAATTCAGAGTTTAGTATGTTGCATTTTATG